ATGTGCCAAGTCAGCAATTCGACCTATATGCAGCAGGTCCACATTTGAGGAGGATGGATCCTGAAAGGAAAGGCACTCATCGAAGCTGCTGATTCCGGTAATGACCTAAAAATCTTTGGCAGCAACATCAACACCTACGGGATTGCAATTCAAGGCTGTTCATATCTTAATGGATATAATGGCTGCCTTCCTAAATATTATCAAGTGACCATTGTTTGTGAGCTGCCAAGGGCTTGCATCTGAATGCAATTACAAGAACAATGAACAGTTATTAGCAGTATATATATAGTTAGAATAGAATAGGCTTAGATCTAGAGTTTGTAGTTGAGAATAACTTTTTTGATATATAGGCATTGTATATATATATATATATATATTTTTTTTTGTAAAATAAAAATTAAAGCTAAAAGAAGCTATTACAAAGATGAGAAGCACTGTAGTGTGCAAATTTTAGTGCTAAAAATGTATAAATGTATTTCTATAAGGGAACTGATCTCATTTAATTATAATACTCATTACATAGAGTTTATAGGTAAAAGTGAATTCTTTTTAAAATAATAATACTAATAATGCTAATAATAATAATAATAATAATAATAATAATAATAATGTTTCAAAATCAAAACAATCATTAATTGATGTACTACTTAAGATAGTTATGAGTACTCCTGGTGCAGGCATGTCATGTACAGTAGGTGTGCAATGTTCATCTTACACTTGTTCAAATTTTTATATCCTTCACTGCCCAAAAGCCTAATAGGCACAAATGAACAGTCAACAATGCATATTATCATAATAATGTATTAGAGCATCTAAATTGTGCTAATTTAAATTCAAAAAAAAAACTTCATTGCATGTACTGTACATGCATTATGTTGTGATTGACCCACCAAATGGAATGATCTCTCCTGCTCCATTCGATGCTGCTCAGTCAATTGTGCAATGTATCTCATTTTCTCTTGTAATATCGCTACAAGAATAGCATAACAATAACAATAATAATAACAATAATCATAATAATAATAATAATAATAATTAATTGCATGCACTTCTACCAAAATTATATGATGTAATGGATTTGCCACAGTATACTCTACACGTACCTGTATTCCTGTCAACCCAGTTTAATGAGTCAGTATGAGCATTCAGTATCTTAATAATCTGAAACACCTTTGGAATTAGAGAAAGGAAGTAGGGGGTATTATACAGAGTTGATATGATAGCTAGAGTTTTCTCACTTCACTATCTTCTTCTTGCATTCCCTCGGCGTTCATTTGCTCAATAACATCTTTCAGATCGTGTCCCATACTGTTCAACTGGGAATCAATCCTCTTCACCAGTTCATAGCTATTTCATTAAAAAATAATAATAACAAATAAACAATAAAATCATAGAATAGACACATCTAAAGTTCCAATTGCTATAATTACTGTATAGCGATTTAATATAATAAAAAATTGTAGTTGTGCCAAATTGTATGCATCTGTGGCCTTACATTCTGTTACGTTCAATGTCAGGATGTTGTGACTCAGTTAGTTGCGTCTGCTGTTGCTGGAGGCCAGTTTCTAATTGAGAGAGTATTTCCTCAAGGTCTTTCTGTTGAGTGCCAATAAGGTCCAGTTCACTATCCAATCTTAGAGAGGAGAGGGAGGGAAGAATAAGAACAGAGAGTTAATGTAACTGATAATTAATGCTATAGCTATAATTATTATTCAAGGATTATGTCAAAATAACAAACTACAATTACGGAGCATTACATATGTATGACAAATAATAACAATGACTATGATAACAATGAAATGACAGTAATTATTACAATCCCCATGTCAGGGTTTCCCATAGGATTTTGGTATAGAGTGCTCAGCATGAAATTTGACAAAATACCTGTACTACATGTATATAGTACAGGATATTTTGTCAAAAATCACCGATGGATGTTTTTAAGTTGAGTTTGAGTTGATTCAAATCAAATTTGAAATTTCTACAAATTTTTCAATTTGCTCAAAAATCGGGCCATAGACCCTGTACTATAGTACAGGGATTTTGGCCAAATTTCACCAAAAATGAAAAGTAGAGAATTCTCCATTTATATAATTTTTTCTGATACATATACATGTACTTATGTTGTATAGCAAGTTTGAGCTGATTCCAATCAAATTTGATTTTTTAATAAATTTTTGAATTTGTTTAAAAATCGAGCCAAAGTTCTTGTAGAGCTATTAAGTAGTACTTGTCAGCTGTTTAGCTCACTTAGCATGCTTTATGGGAAACCCCAGGGTCCCTGACACATATACACATAAAATAACCCACTTCTTCTGATCAGTCTTCAATTTATCAACCTGATCGTGTAATGTTATAATCCTGTCTCCGTTACGCTGCAACATGGTATCCCATTGACCAACCAGCTGAGACTGCTGCATGAAAATGCGCTCTTGATTGAGCAAATCCCTGCTCCACTACAAGAGAGAGAAATGATTAAAATAAAAAAAGAAGGGTAAAACAATACCTGATCAATGAGTGATTCTAGTTTCTTATAAGTATATTTCTTAACAGGAGCCTCAGTAGTAGGGCCAGTGCTAGTGACAGCACTTGAAGCAGCTAAAGTAGTTACTGGTGGATTGGCAGTGAGGCCAGTAGCAGTACCATATGATGGTAGGCCACTAGTAAGGCCAGTTGCTGCCTGTGTGAGACCAATTGTTGGTTGAGTTTTAGGTTGACTCATTAAGCCAGTCAAACCAGTTGTGGGCTGAGTACTTGTCAAACCAGTTAAGCCAGTAGGGAGACCCGTCCTTGCTTGTGTAGAGGTAGCAGTTAAACCAGTTACTGGCTGAGACGTTAGGCCTGCTGTAGCCTGAGAAGTTAGTCCAGTTAAGCCAGTGGCAGGACGTGATGTCAAACCTGTTATACCGGTTGTGGGTTGAGAGGTCAAGCCAGTCAAACCTGTTGATGGCTGGGACGTAAGACCAGCCAAACCAGTTGTAGGATGAGATATTCCAGTTGGTTTCATTTGCTGTAATCCGGTTAAGCCACTGCTGGTAGGACCAGTCTGTAAGCCAGTCAGTCCAGGTCTGGCTTGTGGCAACCCTGAAAACAAAAACAATCAATTTTAACATTTACTACCATGAACACCATTAATAAGAAACAAATGATAGGAAGAGAAACACAAAAATATATTTTCTTACCTCCTTGCAAACCAGTTAGACCAGTTAGGCCTACTTGTGGCTGACTTGTAAGACCAGTAAGGCCAGTTTGAGGTTGGTTTGTTAAACCAGTTTGGGACTGGCTAGTTAATCCCATCAAACCAGTAGGGCCAGTTTGAGGTTGGCTTTTTAATCCCGCCAAACCAGTAAGGCCAGTTTGAGGCTGGCTAGTTAATCCCGCCAAACCAGTAAGGCCAGTTTGAGGTTGGCTAGTTAATCCTGCCAAATCTGTAATGCCAGTTTGAGGTTGACTTGTTAATCCCGCCAAACCTGTAAGGCCAGTTTGAGGTTGGCTTGTATGCCCAGTCAAGCCTGTAAGGCCAGTCTGGGGCTGGCTTGTTAAACCAGTAAGACCAGTTTGAGGTTGGGTTGTTAAACCAGTCAAACCAGTAAGACCAGCTTGAGGTTGGCTTGTCAAGCCAGTCAAACCAGTAAGGCCAGTCTGAGGCTGACTTGTAAGGCCAGTCAAGCCAGTTTGTCCAAGTTGATGTTGGCCTGTCAGACCCATCTGGCCAGTTGGTCTGATCTGAGGTTGGCCGAGTTGTGGACGATTCAATCCAGTCAAACCAGTTAAACCAGTCTGACCCTGTCCCATCTGCAAAGGTGTCTGACCTATTCCTAATAAAACAAGATAAATAAATAAAATAAATAATTACTCCGTTACTGTCCATTACCTCTTAATCCGGCGCCTAAACCCCCTCCTGGTTGAGAAACTGGGAACTGAAATCGATTAGTACCCAAACCACCGCCGCCGCCACCTTGCCCTATTAATGCATTAATGCAACATTAACTACTTACATAATACTATATTACCAGTATCTATTATACACATACATTGCGATTAGATTCTGTTTGACACATTACATAAAAAGGAGCTTACCTAGACCTCCTCCAACATTCATAGCTAAATTCTAAAGTGGTTCAAAAGTGAAAGATCGAAAAACCTCTGGAAAACTGAGTTCTACAGCAAGTCAGCAACACGTGAAGTGGGCGGAGAAAATGACTCTAATTTAGAGGAACCACGCCCATAAAGTAAAAGTAAAGGAAATTTCAAAACAACCAATACAATACGTGGCATGTCACACAAAACAAGAAGATAAAAGACAGAAGAGGAGAGCTCCAAAACACTGCAATAGTAATAGAGAAAGATATGAGGAGAGCTTATCCTTCTTCTCCATACAATCAACAGCAAGGACATTATTCAGCACCAGGTAGACCCTATGATCATTAAACCTTAACTTATCATTGTTCATTCTCTTTAATAAGGTGTCAATAGCGATATGTCAATGTCTAAAGCTCAGGAGATGCTGGAAGAAGAGAATGACCAACTAGTTGATTCACTAAAGCATAAAGTATCGGCACTGAAATCAGTGAGAACTGCATTTAAAATGACATTATTTAATATTATTATTCAATATTCATACTATTATTATTATTATTAATCATCTTTTAATGTCATTATTAACATGCTCTCTTCATTTTTCAGCTCTCTATTGATATTGGCGATGAAGTTAGAGGTCAGAATAGACTACTCAATGACATGGTAAGAAAATTTTTAAAATAACAAGTGTAGCTAAAGGAGCACTGCATGGCTCTTAGTTCTAAGTACGATTTTTTGTTATTTCTATTAGGGTAAGGATTTTGATACAACGGGTGGTCTCCTGTCAGGGACAATGAAGAGGCTACACGGCCTGTCCCAAGGTGGACACAATAGATGGATGTGTTATATGATAGTCCTCATAGTCTTTGTATTCATTGTATTATATTTCATTATAAAGTGGAGACACTAGCTTTCACTGTCTGTCCATTTTGATATTAATTTTATCTCCCACTTTGTGCCAAGCAAGCTAAATTTTTCTATGATTATGACAATAAATTTACAATCAAATATGTTGTATCACAAAAACTGCTGCATGTTTTATACCATAAATATATAATTGTTGATGGACTTTTGTTGTGTGTAAAATGGCCATAACTTGAAAAAATGTAGTTGGAATTGGCTCAAACTTTCTACACAGCATAATTAGAGGACATCAATATGCATCAGAAATTGTAATAAAAATAGGCAGCCCATTTTTTGGGGAAAAATGATGGGCTATAGTACAGGGATTTTTTCAAAAATTGGAACATTTTAAAAATGGCCACAACTTCAAAAATTTGCCTACCTAACTATATAATTTGTGTAGTGGCTGCCTTCTAGCTACCTTTAATGCTTGCTAAATGCTATAAGCATCTAAGATTACTGCAGTGATTTTAAAGGTAGATCAAGAAATTTGTATCCATCAAGTTCTGAGCCATGCATGAGTATTGTTAGTCTGTCTAGATAATATCTATTGTATGTACATTGCTTTGCTTGCTTATGCTCACCCCTTATTGTTTTAGATTTGTCTAGTAATTATTATTTCAAAATTAATTTTGGCAAGGGGTGGGGTAAGACTACACGCTTAGTACATAGATAATAGAGTAAATGAAAATATCTAATATCTATGCTTAGTAGTTGGTTACTATTAACTTTCAATAGCAGAAAAATAACAATTACAAACACCAGCATTATGTATTAGTACATATGCAATAATGTGTTGAAATAAAAAGGTCCAGTGTCAGCCTGTGTATATAAAGTTCTACTCAAACAATGCATGCAATAATTGTTTTGTAACACTTAGAGCCTCAACTTACTTAAATATTAAGCTGTCTAAACGCTACTTTAGTACAGTATAGACCCAGGAGGTACCTTGCCTTCAAGGTGTGGCTCGATTCGATTGAGCTGGTCATAGATATTATAGTACAGGAGTATATGGTTCCTGTAATCCTGTACTCTAAAGCCCAACATACACGGGGCAACATGCATATATGTTGAATGCAACATTGAAGCAACATGTTGTATTCAACATGTTGCCTCGTGTATGATAGCAAATTTGTTGCACACAACATCCAAGCAACATGTTGCTTCAAGTTGAAAAATTTCAACTTCAAGCAACATGTTGCTTCAAAACATCAAAGGTAGACTAACTAGGCAGCACATAAGGAATGCAATAATAACTTCAGCCTTTTATTCATAATAATAATTATTATTATAAAAATAGCAAGCAACATGTTTCCCCTTTTGTTCAACAGTGTGCAACATGTTGAATACAACATGTTGCTTGATGTTGCATTCAACATGTTGCCCCGTGTATGTTGGGCTTAATATCTTTATATCTATGAGCTGGTGCAGATATATACGGTATACGGTACAGGCGCTAGGCGTGGCCAATTGGGCACGTGCATCCACGTGAACGGTACAGATACACGTGCAGGTAAATTAAAAATGGCTGAGGGCGGCTACGATTACAGTTTTGTTGATGAACATCTTCCTGAGGAATTCAGATGTGGCCTCTGCACATTAGTTGCGCGTGATCCACAACAAACAGACTGCTGCCACAATATCTTTTGTGATAATTGTTTAAAGAAACTTCGTCGATCAACAAGGCCATCGAAACCCAAATGCCCTCTTTGTGGTCAGAAAAAGTTCGCCTCCTTCAACGATGGAAGGATCAATCGTAAAGTCATCGGCCTTGAAGTTTACTGCAGTAACCGCGAGGAGGGTTGTGATTGGCAGGGAACCATCAACGAAACTGGTACCTCAATAGGTATTCATCTGAACAATTGCCCCTATCAACTGGTACCTTGCACTGAGGAGTGTGGAGAGGAGATTAGGAGAAGTGCACTGGAGACGCACCTGGCAGACGACTGTACCAAACGATTGGTTAACTGTAAGTATTGCAACCGGATAGGTCGATATCAACTGATAACAAGTAGCAGTCATCTTGACGAGTGTCCTGACCTCCCAGTCCAATGCAGTAATGAAGGTTGCAATGAGAAGATACCACGAAATTCAGTGGTTTCACACAATAAGACCTGCCCTAAAGCTTTTGTACCATGTGAATACAATACTGTTGGATGTAATAAGAAAATAAAGAGACAAGAACAAGAGAAACACAATGAAATGTCAATACTTACACACCAACATTTAACAAAGAAGCAACTAGAAGAGAGAATAAAATCTTTTGGAAGAAATTCGGAGGTGTTTAAAGTAAACCAATTTGGAAACATTGAAACATGGCAGAGTCCTGGCTTCTACACATCACCCTCGTTCAAGTACAAGATGTCTTTATTAGTTTTTCCTAATGGGAAGGGTGCAGGTAAAGGTACTCACGTCTCTTGTTTCTTATGTTTCGTAGCAGGAGAATATGATGATATATTGGAGTGGCCATTTGAAGGAGAAGTTACTATAGAACTACTGAATCGACTGGAGGATAAGAATCATAAGAAATGCACCATATCATTTGATGACACACTTCCAGAGAAATACAGGCAAAGAGTAAAGAAAGGTACAAGCACTAACAGATATGGTATCGACACATTTGTATCGCACGAAGAACTGAAGTATAATGCAATTACTAATCATCAATATCTTAAAGACGATACGCTTTACTTTCGAATAAGTATAGAGGTTGCACGAATGAGGCCATGGCTACTTTGTTGACACTTTGATTTTTAAACTTAATAAACGTGTTGATCACATTTGATTTTGAAACTGTTAATAAAAATTGATCGCATTGTGATTTTTAAACTGTTAATAAAAATTGATCCATAATTCATATGGCTCAGGGTGGATACAAATATAACTTTGTGCATGAACATCTGGATCAATTCAAATGTGGCCTCTGCACATTAGTTTTGTGTGATCCACAACAAGTTGACTGCTGTCACAATATTTTCTGTGATACGTGTATAAAGGAATTGAAACCAAACTGCCCCCCTTTACGGTCAAAAAAGTTCAGATCCTTCAATGATGAAAGGCTCAATTGTCAAATCTTGAGTCTTGAGGTTTACTGTACCAACAGTAAAGAGGGATGTAATTGGCAGGGTTCCATCAATTAAATTGGTACATCAATCGATACTCATTTTAATAGTAAGATGAGTATCATCTACTATTAAGTATACTCATCTTCCTTCTTGTTCTTGTTGACAAGAACAAGAGAGGCACAATGAAATATCAGTAATTACATACCAAAATTTAACAAAGGAGCAACTAGAAGAGAGAATAAAATTGCTCTAAACAAGCTTATTAAGCAAAGAGTTAAGGAAAGTATTGGATCGAAATTCGTATCACACAAAGAGCTGAAGCACGATCAAATTAATAATAATCAATATCTTAAAGACAATAGTCTGTGCTTTAGAATAAGTGTACGCATGGTGTACGGAAGGCTGTGGCTAGTTTGATCACATTTTGATTTAATAATAACAATAACAATAATAATAATAATAATAATAATAATAATAATAATAATAATAAATTGTGATATAAACTGTTAATAAAAATTTATCACTGTAAAAGAGAGAGAGAGAGAGGAGAGTGAGAATCACATAATAGATAATATAATGATCTGTCTGCTACAAAAATAATGAAACACAGACACTGAACCATACTTCACATACACATGTACAAACACACAAAAGGAGAAAAACTGTAGCAGTTGGAAGAAAAGACAAAGAATATAGAAGACAGAAAAGAGGTGATTGTTAATGGTCTGAGTAAAGATCATAATGTTCTGAAACAGTTGAACTAAAAAAGAAAATGAAGTAGTATACATTCTTGTACCTAGTGTACATGCACTTACACTCTCTTCCCTTTATCTTTTCTCTTCATGTCGTATTTGTTCTTTCTACGAAAACTGATTCCTTTTCGTACTGCACTAGGTGAGCCATTTAGCCTTCCTGACTTGTTCTACAAAAAAGAATGAGACAATAAAACATAAATAAAAAATAATTAATGCAATCTTTCATCATAATTAAACAAAATAAAAATAATACCTTTTTATCATGTGGGTCTCTCTCAGTAAGATGACCAACAGATCCCCACTGTTTTGACGGTAATCTTCCATGATGCAGCATAGTCCCAGGAACAGCTAATGATGCTATAAAATAACAGAAAATATCAATACAGTGCATGTACAGTATATGTACTACCATTTACTGAAGGTAGGAATCTATTGGGAAGTCCTCTTCTAAGCATACCTTATAAAGACAGAAAATGTCACACATCAATTACATGTATATATATTGACTGCTATTGATAGACATTTCGCATACATGTATTAATGCCTTCAGAAATGTATGAACCATGCTTTTAAATAAATTGGCCCCAAATAAAAATTACACCTTATACATATTGACTATGTAGAAAGTTTGAGCTGTTTCGGACAAATAATTTTAAAGTTATGACCACTATAAAAAATGAGCCAATTTTTGAAAAATAGCAAAGGCTATAGCCCATGGTTTTTTCCAAAAATTGGCTCCGAAATCACTCCAAACTTTCATTACATTTTCTGATACACATTGATGCCCTTATGCTACCGTACGCGTCTTAATTTTCGAGGTGTATTAAATTTCGTTATTTTCGTGCTCACCTTAAATCCACGAAATTTAAACCACCTCTAATGCCATTCTATTGTATGTAGACCATGGCCAGAACACGAAAATTAGCTCACACGAATATTAACTTTTGAGCAAATTTCATTAAAAACACGAAATTTTGAACCCTCGAAAATTTGGACGTATACGGTATATAGAAAGTTTGAGCTGTTTCCGACAAGTAATTTTCGAGTTATGACCATAACAAGCCAATTTTTAAAAAATACCCAAGGCTATAGCCCACGGTTTTTCCAAAAATTGGCTCTGAAATCACCCCAAATTTTTAGTACATTTTCTGATACACATTGATGCCCTTATACTATGTAGAGTAAATTATGTTAAAAACTGTTAAACTATGTTAGCCCATAGAGTAAAAGTAAAGGAAATCGAAATTTCAAAACAACCAATACAATACGTGGCATGTCACACAAAACAAGAAGATAAAAGACAGAAGAGGAGAGCTCCAAAACACTGCAATAGTAATACTTATTAGAGAAAGATATGAGGAGAGCTTATCCTTCTTCTCCATACAATCAACAGCAAGGACATTATTCAACACCAGGTAGACCCTATGATCATTAAACCTTAACTTATCATTGCTCATTCTCTTTAATAAGGTGTCAATAGCAATATGTCAATGTCTAAAGCTCAGGAGATGCTGGAAGAAGAGAATGACCAACTAGTTGATTCACTAAAGCATAAAGTATCGGCACTGAAATCAGTGAGAACTGCATTTAAAATGACATTATTTAATATTATTATTCAATATTCATACTATTATTATTATTATTATTAATCATCCTTTAATGTCATTATTAACATGCTCTCTTCATTTTTCAGCTCTCTATTGATATTGGCGATGAAGTTAGAGGTCAGAATAGACTACTCAATGACATGGTAAGAAAATTTTTAAAATAACAAGTGTAGCTAAAGGAGCACTGCATGGCTTTTAGTTCTAAGTACGATTTTTTGTTATTTCTATTAGGGTAAGGATTTTGACACAACAGGTGGTCTCCTGTCAGGGACAATGAAGAGGCTACACGGCCTGTCCCAAGGTGGACACAATAGATGGATGTGTTATATGATAGTCCTCATAGTCTTTGTATTCATTGTATTATATTTCATTATTAAGTGGAGACACTAGCTTTCACTGTCTGTCCATTTTGATATTAATTTTATCTCCCACTTTGTGCCAAGCAAGCTAAATTTTTCTATGATTATGACAATAAATTTATAATCGAATATGTTGTATCACAAAAACTGCTGCATGTTTTATACCATAAATATATAATTGTTGATGGACTTTTGTTGTGTGTAAATTCTAATATGCATCTTAAGGACTACTAATGTGCATTAAAATACAGTCTAGACTATAATAATATGGTATAATGCTGAATTTTATCTTAATACAAACCTTTCCTTGGTCTGTAAAGAGAATACCTTTGCCAATATACTGTCCCTATAGTTAAGTGACGCATGATAAAATCATACTCTAGCTCTAATATGTTTCACATGTATAGATCTTTTAAAATAAAAAATTCCCCATTAGAATGAACAATGTTTCTAACATATCAACTACGAAAACAGTATATACGTTCACTACAATTCTGAATGAAAAGTGTATCAAATATACACTTTTAATGTACACACACATCTAGTTTATTACAGTAAAATTGGCAGTAAGACAAACAATTTTCTTTCCTTGTTCTGTAAAGACAGCAGTTTTGACAAAATATTGCCCCTATTTATAATAAGTGATTTACATGCACCTTCATGAATTATTCAGTTTACCACTGGAAACAAATTAAAGCTGTCAAACGTCCCAGATATATTGTAATTTCCAGGAGGTATGGGACAAGGTCGATGCAGAATGTCAACAGCTAAGTCACAAGCATTAAAGTTATCATCTATTATGGCCACATTAATTGTCTTGTTCCCAAAAGACTCTTCAACTGCTGCAAAAATATGTACAAGGTGCCAGTTTTCCTGTTTATCTATAGAAAAAAAATTACACATGGCAGAGGTGGAGGCTGAGCTCACAAATGTCAATGTTTGCAACATAGCTGACACGCTGACCATTTTTATAAGGCAGTGGAGGATCAACAAAAGCATAGTTAAGCTTGTAGTAGTCGGTGTTGCTCTCTATTAGCATGAGAAGAATCAATATCCAAATGATACATCTATTCTTACTGCAGTAACTCCAATTAGTAAAATAATGAATATCATCTGTATTATTAAGTAAAATATATTATTAAGGTAACAATGGCAATAGAAGACACATGTACATGTACCTTGCAGCAGTTTCTTCTCATCAGTTGATAGTACACACAAAGTAACTAGAAATAAATGCACACAGGCTATGCCTACATGAATATCTCTCATCATCAATCTCTGACTGATCATTATTTCAACCTAAACAATTGCAGCATTTATATAATTATGCCTTGTGGTGTTTATGATACACAAATAAGGCTAAACATGTAAAGCATAACCTTTTTAAGGCAACACAAACATGCTATAGGTGACAGACACACACACATGCAGTCAATAAAACTCACTGATTTGATGTCAACTTTCCCACCACTGAACATCAGTGCCTCCAGTAATTGTAACTTAGCTGCCCAATGCATTGCAGTCTATGAAAAACCAAATAATTCAACCTTAAATTTCTAAAATCAACTTTTCCTCTCTCTCTCTCTCTTACCTGGCCATTGAGAAACCCTTTTCTTATTAACGTAGGTCCATCACTCATCAGTATATAGGACATCAATATGGATCAGGAAATGTTGGGGGATCATTTCGGGACCAATTTTTGGGAAAAACCATGGGCTATAGCAAGGCTGCAAAAGTCGTGGCAGCCATTTTGTTTGGGGGTGAATCCTACTTAGTAACGCTACCGCGTTACTAATATTATGTCAATACTTACACACCAACATTTAATAAGGAGCAATTAGAAGAGAGAATAAAATCTCTTGAAAGAAGTACGGAGGTGTTTAAAGTAAACCAGTGTGGAAAAATTGAAACATGGCAGAGTCTTGGCTTCTGCACATCACCCTCATTCAAGTACAAGATGTCTTTATTAGTACACACGTCTTTTGTTTCATATGTTTCGTGGCAGGAGTATTATGATGAAGTATTAAAGTGGCTATTTGTATAGAACTACTGAATTGACTGGAGGATAAGAAATTAAGAATCATAAGAAATGCACCATATAATTTGATGACACACTTCCAGAGAAATACAGGCAAAGGTATAAGCACTAACGGATATGGTAATGAGACATTTGTATCACATGAAGAGCTGAAGTTATACTCTTTACTTTCAAATTAGTATAGAGGTTACATGAATGAGGCCATGGCTACTTTGATGACACTTTGATTTTGAAATTTCATAAATGTGTTGATCACAATTGATTTTGAAACTTCTTATAAAAATTATCACATTGTGGTTTTGAAACTGTTGATAAAAATTATTACATTTTGATTTTGAAACTGTTGATAAATGTTGATCACATATTGATTTTGAAACTGCTGATAAACGTTGATCACATTTGATTTTGAAACTGTTGATAAACGTTGATCACATTTGATTTTGAAACTGTTAATAAAAATTGATCACATTGTGATTTTTAAACTGTTAATAAAAATCGATCCATTGATAATGCCAGGTATAATTCAAAATGTCTTGGGTGGATACAAATATAACTTTGTGGATGAACATCTTCCAAATCAATTCATGTGCATTCCCTTTGCACATTAGTTTCGTGTGATCCACAAGTTGACTACTGCCACAATATTTTCTGTGATACGTGTATAAAGGGACTTTGATGATCAGCAAGGCTATCAAAACCAAACTGCCTTGTTTGTGGTCAAAAAAGGCTCACCTGCTTCCGTGCTTCAAGGATGGAAGGCTCATTCATCAAATGATTAGTCTTGAGGTTTACTGTACTAACTGTGAAGGGAACCATCAATCAAACTGGTACCTTTAGATGCTCATCTGAGTAGTTGTCCCTATCAACTGGTACTTTTGTTAATAATATTCACTTTTAATCATATTCATAGTTGTTATAAACATTTTATAAGAGATAGAGCAGTTATATGTGGTAGGTCTTTTGCCTAAGGCTCCACCTGTCTGAGAGTTCTACACAGGCTTTTTAAAATTAGATTCTTTTTTGGTGAGTTGTGGCCTCCTTTTACTCCACTGATGGTCATATCTCAATTCTAGAGCCTTTTATCACTAAATTGCTCTGTACCCCCATAGAAGAAAATAAAAGCAGTTTCTGTGAAGCATAAAGTGATATGATAGCCCATTGCTTAGATTTTGCTAGCAAGGTGGGTGTTTTCTTTTAATTTTTTCTCACGTACTTTTATATTTTCTGAAGTTTTATAATTAATGAGAATTGGGGTACCCACCCCCTTAACTGGTACCTTGTACTGTGGAGAGGAGATTAGGAGAAAATAATTCACTCGAGACTCATCTCTAAACAAGAAGATACCACGTTGTTCAGTAGTCTCGCAGGCCAGACCCAATCATGTGAATACCGTATAGCTCTAAATTTTTGTCAGTAAAAATTTCGTCAAAATCTTAATTTTCGTCAATCGTCATTGTTATTCTAGCTACTACCCACGTGGACCCACGTGGAACATGGCTCAAGCATGTGGTGGGTATAACTATAAGCTTGTTGATGGAGATCCTGACTATTATAGCTGTGCCATCTGTACATTAATATGTTGCAATCCACAACAAGTTTCCTGCTGCTACAATATTTTTTGCAAGACCTGTCTAATGTGGCGACGTCGTTTTGGGGTACCATTGATGCCAACGCCGAAACCAAAACGCCCTCTCTGTCAAGAGGCATGCAGGTCCTTTTATGACAGAAGGACCAATCATGAGATTATGGCTCTCATGATATACTGTACCAACAGTGAGGAGGGTTGTGAGTGGCAGGGAACTATTAACGAAATCGAGGCTCATCTTAATAGCAGCTGTATCTATCAACTGGTACCTTGCACTAATGAGTGTGGAGAGAAGATTAGGAGAGATTCACTGGAGACGCATCTGACAGACAACTGTACCAAACGATTGGTTAACTGTCAATATTGCAACTGAATAGGCTGATATGATCTAATAACAAGCAGCAATCATCTTGACAACACATTTGATTCTAGGAGAATCTCGTCATAATAATAATAATAACAACAATAATAACATCAATAACAGTTTTAGATAATAATAATAATAATAATGATAATAATAATAATAATAAATTGTGATATAAACTGTTAATAAAAATTTATCACTGTAAAAGAAAGAGAGAGAGGAGAGTGAGAATCACATAACAGATAATATAATGATCTGTCTGCTACAAAAATAATGAAACACAGACACTGAACCATACTTCACATACACATGTACAAACACACAAAAGAAGAGAAACTGTAGCAGTTGGAAGAAAAACACAAAGAATATAGAATACAGAATAGAGGTGATTGTTAACGGTCTGAGTAAAGATCATAATGTTCTGAAACAGTTGAACTAAAAAAGAAAATGAAGTAGTATACATTCTTGTACCTAGTGTACATGCACTTACACTCTCTTCCCTTTATCTTTTCTCTTCACATCATATTTGTTCTTTCTACGAAAACTGATTCCTTTTCGTACTGCACTAGGTGAGCCATTTAGCCTTCCTGACTTGTTCTACGAAACAGAATGAGACAATGAAATTATAAATAAAAAACAATAATTAATGCAATCTTTCATCATAATTAAACAAAATAAAAATAATACCTTTTTATCATGTGGGTCTCTCTCAGTAAGATGACCAACAGATCCCCACTGTTTTGATGGTAATCTTCCATGATGCAGCATAGTCCCAGGAACAGCTAATGATGCTATAAAATAATAGAAAATATCAATACAGTGCATGTACAGTATATGTACTACCATTTACTGAAGGTAGAAATCTATTGGGAAGTCCTCTTCTAAGCATACCTTATAAAGACAGAGAATGTCACACATCAATTACATGTATATATATTGACTGCTATTGATAGACATTTCGCATACATGCATGAATGCCTTCAGAAATGTATGAACCATGCTTTTAAATAAATTGGCCCCAATAAAAATTACACCTCATACATATTGACTATGTAGAAAGTTTGAGCTGTTTCCGACAAATAATTTTAAAGTTATGACCACTATAAAAAATGAGCCAATTTTTGAAAAATAGCAAAGGCTATAGCCCATGGTTTTTTTTTCAAAAATTGGCTCCGAAATCACTCCAAATTTTTATTAAATTTTCTAATACATACTGATGCCCTTATGCTATATAGAAAGTTTGAGCTGTTTCTGACAAGTAATTTTCGAATTATGACCAATTTTAAAAATGAGCCAATTTTGAAAAATACCCAAGGCTATAGCCCATGGTTTTTCCAAAAATTGGCTCCAAAATCACCCCCAATTTTTATTACAATTTTTTATACACATTAATGCCCTTATGTAGAAAATTTGAGGTGCTTCCGACAAGTAATTTTCAAGTTATGAGCAGATATCTATAAACATGAATAGCTAATCAATGCTAGTACAGCATGTACATGTAAATGATCTTTTCCGCAAAATAAAATCAACTGCCACATAGCTATGCAGCATGCTATGTACACATACATGTTTATCCATGAAAATAAATAAACAACAAATATTTAAGTTGCTTTATTAAGCAATAGTATTAATTACTTTTAATAGAGTTTGGGGCCCATTCATGGACAACATCGATTGGCCGCAGACCGCAATGATCCCTTACATTAATGGGAGCATCTGAGATAAGGAGGGAAGAGGAAAGGAGAAGAGAAAAAGAGTATAATATAAGTAGAACAAACAATTGGACTTACTGTATTCATTGACTAAGACTTCAATCATTCTGTAATGACCAGCCTCAGCAGCTAAATGTAATGGGGTTGAACCCTATAATAATAAATTAACAATGATTATTAATAATAATACAATCATCTCTGCTTTAGTACACACTAGTTCCCCTCCTCATAAACTTACTCCCTAAGTTATCAAACAGAGAGATGGTGATATTACAGCGGCAACGACCATAAAGGAAAGGAATGAAACATAAACAAGTTAAATCAACAGCAAAAGAAGATAGATAAACACACATATCGCTCAGATCAAAACACTGAAATCACACCATATCACAATAACATTCGAATGAACATTATTACTAGGAAATTGGCAGTGAAGTGATAAACAACAAAGCTATCACAACACACTATATTATATTAATGTGTGTACCATCACATGTTACACACTTGAACTAAAAATCCAAATGCTATATACGAACTCTATTAGTGCTTGTTGAACTATCTTACTACAGTGGAGCATTTGATGACATTAACGCTAGTCATAATAAAATAATAACTTATGTGGGATTCTGATTTTAGACAGGAACTCAATTTGGCTCAATTTTATCCAAATAATTATAATATTTAATTATAATAATATACTGATGTTGTACACAAGATCATAAGATCAGTGTGACTCTGTGTGTGTGTGCTAAATAATATTTAAACTTACATGCTATAGGTGAGTAGAGATGATTAATAATCCACGAAAAGAAGGAGAGGGAGGGAGAGGGAGGGAGAAAAGAAGAGAAGGTCATTATATGCATAGACACACATACACACACATGCAGTCAATAAAACTCACTGATTTGATGTCAACTTTCCCACCACTGAACATCAGTGCCTCCAGTAATTGTGTATTACCTAACTTAGCTGCCCAATGCATTGCAGTCTATGAAAAAAAAAAAGAAACAAAACAAAATAATTCAACCTTAAATTTCTATAATCAACTTTTTCCCTCCCTCTCTCTTTCTCTCTTACCCAGCCATTGAGAAACCCTTTTCTATTAACGTAGGTCCCATCACTCATCAGGATATGATGTATGGTGTCCATATCACCAGCAATGAGAGATGTTATCCATTCCTTTTCCATTGGATCTATCTCCACCACATACTCGTCAATTGGAGCTATAATAATAATTACAAAAAAAGGGGATGACCCTCTCGTTAAGTGCTCTATAATTAGAATAAACTTACATTCTCTTTCCGGCTCATCTCCGAGGAGCTGCAAATGAGAAAGAGAAAAGTAAAATAGTAAGAAATGATAAAATGATGGTGATAATTTATATAATGTACACACTGATTATCATTATAAGTGTGTGACTGAGTGTGTATGTACTTCTTCATGTGATGTTGATGGAAAGAGCTCATCTGAATTCTTTGATAGTCTGTGATTGAACTGAAGGTGGAGGAGAGAGAGAGAGAAGTAGACATAATTCATGACATCATTTTGTGTACAACTTACTTTGGTTCCTGATGCTCTTATTGACTCTCTTGTCAAAGTCCCAAGATTAGCTAATTGGAATAATGCAAGCATTAATCACACTCACCCACCCACACACTAATTAGCTTACTGTTGAGTCCTTTGTTTCGCTTAATGACAGTCCCAACGCTAGAGGATGATCTTTGAACTTTGATATCGGGCGGAGTCGGCTCTCTCTTTAATTGTAGGTCTGACATAGCACCTATAAAATGTGTAATATTAATAAATAATGTACGTACATGTACATACAGTCATAGAACATGAGCAAGGGACATGAGGACATTCCGTGCACCATAAAACACAAAATATTCCAATCATGAGACAAAATTTGATTACGCTATAGTAATGCTCAGATAATTGTATTTTTAGAAACAGTAAAAAGTGTACATGTACAGTGAATCTGCACATTTATCATATCCAAAGGCCAAATGAGCCACCAATTACTATATAATGTCACTATATAGTCTTAAGTGATGAACATACTATACACTCTATTTGTTATTGAACATTGGCTGCTAATAATATTCAAAAGCCAAAAATCCACGTGTACATGAAATACCAGCTAATACAGCGTACTCTGTACTCTGTACATGTACACATGTTTAAGTACACAAACCAACTTTTACTAAGAAAATTTGTATATTGTATGCATGTGCTTTTTCTAAGTATTCCCCCTCTCTTACTTTGTGCACTAGCGGAACTAGTAGAGCGAGATACTTTAGATGGACTCCCATCTTTGTTCGGAGAAAGAGAGGGAACTGCACCAGGTGGTACTGTATACTGCTGTATCAAGGCCTGTACACCCACTATAATGACAATAAAACATAATAGTAATAAAACATAATAATAATAATAATAATAATAATAATAATAATAATAATACAATTCACTGCCTCCTACATGTACATGTACAACAAATGATGTGATGGAATCATAGAGTACATTGCTTTAACTCTTACTTTTATTACTCCCCCAAATACATGTATGACCCACCTGTCTCAACTTTCACTCACCCTCCCTCCCTTCTCTCCCCCTCTCTCTCTCCCTCTCTCTCTTACATTGTGATCCTTTGCTTGTTGATCTATTGACAGTAGCAGAAGACACAGGAGGTGATATTAGATTAGTATCTGATGATGAAGCAGCAGCTGGTGAGGACGTTGATTGGGCACTACTGCTAGAGAGGGAGCTATCTAAAAATATAAAGAAAGGAGTGACATAAATAGAGAACATATGTAGAATAAAAACAGAAGAAATAGGAATTAAAATTACTTCCAATAAGACAATTACAAGCAGCATACATGAACCTATACAAGTACATGCAGAGTACATGCTGTACAAATACTTGTACATACACATATCAGTTGTACATACATGTACATGTATATGTACGTACATACACATATATGTGTATGTGTGTGGGTTCATGCTATATCATGTAAATTGACTATTAGTGTACACAGAAAACTGAAAGTATGCCAAGTATGAGCAGATGCAATGATTCTAACCTAATTATGATGACTATACCTAACAGCATGTACCACGATCCCACACACAAATGATACTACATGTACATATACATGCATTTGACAAATTGACAGAGAACAAAAATATACAGTATAATTCATTTTTATTTTAATAATGAGTATATAAGAGAGAGAGAAGAGAGAGAGAGAGAGGGGTAGAAGTGAGTGGGAGCTAAAGGAGTAAGGGACATTATTGTTGATGTAAAAACAGGAAATACCCAATCAAATCCCATGACAACAGGGAGAGGGCAACTGCTGAGGTGGAGTACTAATTACTAATACATGTCATCCAAACTCATGAAAAAATAATGTCAAGTAATATAAGACTTCAATAACTTACAGTCTACAGTAGAGGTGTGTGTGTGTGTGTGTGTGTGTGTGTGTGTGTGTGTGTGTGTGTGTGTGTGTGTACTGCTATTGGGATAATATCATGAAGTGTTTTGGCAATGTAATGATAAACAAAAATAAACTAATGCTTCAAGTGTTAGCCAATGCCAACAAATAAAGTGATCATAAAATATGATTCTAAATTGACAAACATAGAGTCATGCTTAATATAGCCTCATGGGGAGAGACAGTTGTATAACTGGGTAATTGTGACAAAAGGGGAAATGAAACATACCAGGATAGCAACAAACCATTACATAATCATTACATCATTATAATAACAATCCATAAATACCCTAATAGCTACTGGGAATCAGTAACTCAATTACAAAACTGGTGTGTGTGTGTACTCACTTTCAGATAAGTGTGGGTGATGGTGAGCTGAATGTGAAGTAGCCAAATTGGAAGAGGCCATTGGACGAGAGAGTCCGTCCGATGTACCCCCAACCGGTAAGAAAGGAGATGAAGTTGAGGACGGTGGGCTACCAAAGAAGCTATCGCTAAAGATCCCGGTCTTACCAAAGTTCTCAAGATCAGCAGTGATCCTTTGCAGGTCTGATGATTCAGCCATTGCAGAACCATTACTCAATGAATGGACACTGATAGGAGAGCTGATCTGTAGGTGACCACCTTTCTTATTGCCGCCGCTCTTACTGTGATGAGAGGAGGAGGAAGTAGGTGGAGTCACGTGATTAATAGGCGCACCGTGTTGCTGGTAATGATCGAGAAAGGACGAGGTGGGAAAGGAGGCAGCCATTGGCGGAGGAACAGGATTGACCCTCGAACCAACTGGAGAATGAAGAGGAGACGTAGTAGAAGTGGAAGGGGTCGGTTTAGAAAAAGTAGGCGGAGCTCTGGAGGAAGTAGAAGTAGGCGGGGTTGGTTTAGAAGAAATGGGAGGAGCCAGAGAAGTATTGGTGGGAGGCGGTCTTGCAGAACGAGAGGGAGACGAGACAAGAGGAGAGGGAGAGGAGACAAGGGGTGAACGGGAAGGTGATGTGACTCCACCGTTTTGTTGTCTAGTGGCTCTGTGCTGTGGACTAACTGATTTGTGCTCAGGTTGAAAATCATGAGCTCCAGCTCTAGCCACAGGAGAACCGCCATTTTGAATAGGAGGACGAGGAGCAGCCCGTCTACCAGAGACACTGCCGGTAGAATAAGGAACAGTGGACGATGGAGAAGACGACTGAGCACTGGATAACGGAGGCATACCAGTGTAACGATTATTAGATACCGGATCAGTGGAGAGCATACCAGAGGTATGAGGGACACTGGACGAATGAGGGACACTGGACGAATAGAGAACACTGGACGAATGAGATGGATTGGAGGTGGTGTTGGAAGACAAATGATTATTAATATTTGATGATTGTCCATGAGACGAATGGACGCTATTAAACGTAGAGACTCCGCCCATCATTGATTGGGGCTCTGCTGGTCTGAAAGATGAGTTTCCAATGCTTGGGTGACTAGGAGACGGAATGGGTGTGGTCACATTATCCGCAGTCCGAGATGGAGAGGTGAGAGAGGACGCACCTGTTTTGTACTCGTCTTTCAAGTAGAGAAACTTTTCGCCCTAGAATATAAAAAAAGAAATAAAATAAAGATTTGTATATACACAAGGATTGCAGTAATATTGTGGAATGAAGTCTAGACTCCATTGACGATAGAACTTGAGCAACTTGTAGCAATAAAAAGCTAAACAGAGAGTGATGACAAAGCATTGTTCTGAATTAAATGAAAAACAATCTGACAACAAGAGACTGGAGACAGATACTAGAGTGTGGCCAAAGAGAGGGAGACTATAGCTATAAGGTGAGCTGTACATGTACATAGACACTCTGTAATGAATACTGCACACAATGAAACAAAATATTAGACTAATGCACACTCCCTCTCTCTTTTACTCACTTCCAGTCATTTCTCTCTCTCTCTCTCTCCTTCATTATAATGGAAATGCATGTCTTAAAAATGATATTTATAAAGCTATACCAGCTGATGACATGTGTTCAAATGTCTTACTGGACCCAGCTGAGGGCCACAAAACCACATAATAAGATTAAGAGCTCAACACATTACCAGTTTATACAACAACAGGAGAAGGAGCTGATATTAAACATAAGGAGATGTGGCAATTAAGTTAAAGGGGAAGAGGAGACAGAGAGTCAGGGAAAGAGAGTAAAAGAGTGGGAGTATGACACCCATTAATACAACTCCAGTGGGATGAACAGTGTCATACTTGTATTATTATTAATACAGCATAACCACTTTATCAGTTATTACAGCATCATTCCATCGCAATGTGTCATAGACACTGCACTTTATGTACAACAATAATAATTAATGTACTATAACTATAATAATACAAGATTTGTACCAATTTGTATGTCTATAAATAACACATTATGCTACTGGAAATTGAAGAAATTTAATAAAGTTTATATGGTGGCATAAAGCCCCTTCCTTCCCTCCCCCCTCTCTCTCTCTCCCTTACTCTCTCTCTCTCTCTCTCTCTCTCTCTCTCTCTCTCTCTCTCTCTCTCTCTCTCTCTCTCTCTCTCTCTCTCTCTCTCTC